AACCGCTCGAAGACAAGCTTCCCTTCTGACCCAGCGATAGCAGGTTTAGCGGTGGATTTACGGTAACTACGAATATCTCAAAATTCCACTTAAAAAAGATTATATCAACGTTCCACTCTTCTTACCCTAATCCACGCTATAAACCGTAACAAATAGTCACGCGTTATCAAACTATCGCGTACATCGTTTAATAATTCTGCTAATCTACCGTTTATTGATTTACATGCAATACGATAACGCGGAAAAACATTTGTCTTGCAGAGCTCTCCACATGAAGGAGCACCCAGACTACAAGTACCGTCCCCGCAGGAAGCCGAAATCCTTGGTAAAGAAGGAGAACAAATTCGGCTTCTCGATATCGCCCCTGATGTCCTCGGGTGAAACTCTAGGCAACATATCGAGAAGTCTTTTGCCACCTCTGGCGCCGCCCTCGCACCATCCGCTGATGAGCCACGAGGATCTCAAGATACCCCGTTTTTTCCCGCCATTTCCATATCCTTTGTATCCCATCCAGCACAAACTGGGAGAAGACTTCAACGGCGGCAAACTGGCCGCAGATCTGGCTCTCCAGGCTCTCTACGGTGGCAGCACCTTCTATTCCAGCCATCAGACCATGTCCTGGCCTGGTCTGTCAACGGCGACCTGTCTCCAGCCTAACTGCGGCTGTCCGAGTCCACCCAAAGACCCAAAGAGGCCGTATTTGCCTACTAAACTGGAGGAACGACCGTTTCCCAGTCCAGGAAAGCCAGAGGACGATGGATTTCCGTCAGACAGAGACTCCAGTAGGGATGATCCTCGATACAGGAAGCTCGAGGATGACGCGTTCTCGTCGTCGATGGACAGGCATCAGGAAGACAGGTCTCAGGACCGATTTTCGTCGTCTTCTTCTTCTTCGCCCACTGAACAGACGGAGAAGATGGTCGGTACCGTGCCAACGACGACGTCAATATCGACGACGAAGGTGGAGAGCGCGTTTTCGGTTCAGAATCTGACGTCTTCCAGCTCGAACTTGGGCAGCCATCGTGGCCATGTCATATGAAGGCCGCTTCCGGTTCTCCCGGACTTAAACTTCCGGGGGAACCTGGTACCACCTGGATGGCCCAGCACCGACTGGTGGAGAGTGCCACCGATGCTGTCGCCGATTCCTCAGGCCACCGTCACTAATCTAACCGCGCCTGCGAAGGACGATGAAGTCCAGTTTCAAGAAGACCAACAGCGGAATTCCGTGATGGCCAGATCGAGGAGTATTCATATCGGAAATGTACAGTGATCACTGATATTCGAGAAAGACTCGGGGAATCGATGATGGTTCAGGAAATGGTACTCGAACGTTTCGAAGGATCGTAATGGTAAAAAGGGATTCTAAGTTAATCGTAGCGTGCAAATTGTGTCACGTTCGTATCAGATTCGACGTGGAATAAAGACGCTATAATGGCACGACAAAGTGAAACTCGCGTGAGTCGAAGGTTTAAAAACTTACAAAAAGCTACTTACGATAGATGAACCACGAAGGTCCTCGGTCATTCGTAACCTGTTGCGTTGTGTGATAATTCAAGCAGTCTACCTAGCCACGTTTTTTACTATTGTATATAATATCTCGAATTCCAAGGAACTGTCGTATGATTGGAGAAGTTGCACCGTGAGTCCCAGTGAGCTCACACGGTGAGCCAAGCGTGTGACCGGCGATCTTCCTCCTGAGAGTCGCAGCTTCCTCGCCTGGGGACACGGGGCCAGGGCAAGTCGAACGTTCCGACGAGAATTCGTTATGCGAGCCGACGGTGGATACCAAAGCCGAATCGATAACTCGCCACGGCCGAAATCCCACAAAGAGACAGGCGAAAGGGTCCTTTCTGGCAAAGCGTGTACAGGGATGCCAGAGAAGAGTCCAATTTTGATGAGATAACCAACCCTCTCGTGGCACATATTACCGCACACGCGAGCCAAAGCGGCACGAGAGGACAGAAAAGAGCCCCGTACGAGAGTGGAGAGGTAGGAAAAAATAAAACCCTCTTCGGGCGGAGGCAAATCTCTTCTTTGGGGCGCGGCCATGCGAAATAAGCCAAGCGTTCTGAATGCTAACGTAGATGCGACACAGCGGACCTGTATACGCATCATACCCCCTCGCGAGATGATTTTATCGCGTCGCGCATTGATACTGCAACTCCCCGATATTTTCCGCGTCTTTCTCCTTTTCTCCTTTTCCGTTCGTACACTCGCATTTCCATTTCTTTCGCGAATCTTCGTAATTACGCGAACACGGATACGCGATGATTGTGAGGGAGAGTTGGTAAGTGAATCGACCAGAGTTTATGGTAACTCGTAACATTACCATACAGTGTTTTCTTCGTCATTCACTGGAATGTTCAATGTAGCAATATTGTACACACGACTGCAAATCGAGAGAACACTAGTTTATATATAATGGACCTATTTGGTTATTTCGAGGGCTTCCACGAAGACTTGAAGACCTTGTGATATCTGGTTACTAGAATAGCGTATTATTTTCTTATGTTGCTCATGATTTTATCGTTGTTCTCTTTTCGGAGAAGGCATTAGTCGCAGGGTTGTAATTAACGCTGTACGATATTTTTTCGACCATCGACTAATTTCGTGATAGATCGTTTTGAAAAATATTAAAAGGTACACCGTTTCGCATTGGTTGGGAAAATATTTATTGGTAGAAGACACAAAGTACAATCAATCGTACAATCTGCCGTTACTTATCGTATCTCTCTCATAATTCTGTCCGAAAAAATAAAATATAGTGGCAGAATGAAAAAGTATCCGACGCTTTTTCGGATAGCATTGAAATATACGAACCTGTAATTTGTTACTGTGAAGCTTTAAACGATTGGCCTGTAATAATAAAGCGTTCAATTCGTGCAAATTGTTTGCAGACGCTCCATTCTGTCCGCGGATTGTTGAATTCGTTGCGAAACCCCCCTGCTCCGTTCTCGCAGTTTTATTGCAGCTGATTTTTCGCGATCGACGCGCACCCGTATATTCGAAATTTTATACGCTTGTTTTGCCGCGCGAGGCACGTATTTTTCGGCGAAAAATTTCGATATCGACCACGACGATCAAGCCTCACGACTGGCCAGAATGGAAACTAATTCCCACGCGCACTTCCCTCCCACATCTAGAAATTGTATACAGTTAAAAAAAAAAAAAAAAAAA